TTCTTCACTAATATCTTCATCTCCTCCTCTTCCTCCTGCTCTGACCCTCCTGGTCTCTTCAGTGAACTCTCTTTTCCTTTTCCTCTTTCTGTTCGTCCTGATCATTTCTCAGATGTCTTTTTGTTGTTGTTGAATCACTCCAGCTACTCTGGCCTGCAAGAGTCTACTTGAAAAGCACTGGTACAAATGCTTGTATAACTTTAAGGCCCAGACACACCAGGCCGAAATCGGCCGTCTTCGGTTGTCTGACGACGAAGCGTGCCCTGTCGCCCAAAGTCAATTTGGTGTGTCCCGAACCCTCGGCCGTGACACGCCTTATTTGGCCTTTCACGGCCGTGTGTCGGACACAAGCTATCGGGCCAAGAAACCACTCTGATCAGCTGTTCAGCTAGCAAATGAGGAGCGAAACGGAAGTGAGGGACGTAAACAAACGATTTAAGAAGGCACAGGACAGCAGCTAAACCCCAGCAGGTGATACTTAAAGACATCAAACATAGTCCTTAAATGTCCTCTCTTACCTCCCACACATAGCAGGGACATCTCTGATATCGGCGGGAGCGTCCCCGGCTGTCCTCTGCTGAGAGCTCCGTGATTTGTTTGGTCAAGTCCGGTTTTTCATCTCATCGGTTTATTTGTCAGTATAAAGTTGCAGGATTAGTCTCCTACCTCAACATTGTCCTTAAGTACAGTGTCTAAGTAAATGAGATCATGGGCGTCGCAGCCATTATATGAGGGTGGGACAAGTCCCCCCAACTTTTTCAAATGATTAGTTTAGACCCCCCCACTTTTACTATGCGGAAAGTCCGTGAATCGGTCTATCCACTCGCCGCACTTTGTAGAGCGCTGTGTCAGTGCTTCACTATCAAATGAAATCCATTCCACTTGCTTATTGAGAGAATGCCCAAATCAATGAAACTCCGTACCATGTTTTCACTGCTACTTTGTACCAAGGCAGATTCTCACATAGCGCGCGCATGTTCAAGGAGTGTTGTCATAGTTGGACAGCTCAGGGGCCTCATTTATAACGCCTTGCGTAGGATTGACGTAGGAAGGTTGCTTACGTAGTACAAAGCACAAAAATAGGTACATACATTTTCCGCCATTTTCCGATTCACAAAACCTTGCGTACCGGCGAGGGAAGTGCGTACGGCACTCCCTACGCCTGTTTCCCTTGATAAATCACAATCGACTCGTAACGCCCATATTTGCCTATACATAGTCAAAGAAACGCCCATTCATTCATTCATTTTGACTGACTGCATGAAGAAGATCGCAGGAAATTACGATAGAACAGCTAAAAAAGACATCTCACACCGTGTCAGATTTTGGTTATTGTGGGGAGGTCGAGATAAATCATATTGTTTGGTGGATGCAGTTTGAACCAGAGTAGCAGCATGGAGGTCGGATCGTCACCAAAATAAATAAATAAGTGGTCCGAAAAAAGTTAATGACAAAACAAATACACATAACCTTCCTCAGGCAGTGTGTTTGTCCCGGGGACAGGAGACACCCCCTTGATGAGAAACTGTAAGAAATGATCGGGGAATCCCTCCGGAGTGGAGTCATGGTGGTTTGTGTTCCAGCTGTCGATCAGCAACTATATATACATAATCCACCAGTTAAAGGAAATACAACTAATGGATTGTGTTATATTAGCTGTACAATTTACCACATATGGTGTTCTTAGTTTCCATACCTCCTGTGTTTTACGAGCGACTTATCAAGTCTTGGCAAACGGCATAAAACACGATTAAACGTGATAGTATATAAAACCATGCTCGTATCTACAACCTATAGAAATGCAAAACGGCGTCAGTTTAGACGTAATTCTGTCCTCCTGCTTACCGCATCATTTATGAGAAAACATTTCATAACATTAACACAACATATTCGAGGTGGTTTTAAATAGCATATCCGTATTTATTTATTTCTCCAAGTTATGTTTTTGTGTGCACTGAGGAGTCTCAAACAGGCGTTTGTTTAATCATTTTAAGATTGGTTTTAATCAATGTTTGAAAATGAATTCTTCATATTTGATAAATGAGAGGTAACATTTTATTTATGGTATTATTTCCACATATTTCTCTCCATTCTTCCTTCTGCCAACGGTGTCGCAGTTTCTCGTCTCTCCCGTTTGTGTGCTTAGTGCGTACGCATGGGTTACAGTTTGCGTGGAGGACAGCACATTTTCCCGTCAAGTTAGTATTTTATAAATCGCAAACATTGCGTAGAAACTGGCGTACGCCATTTTTTGAGCGTATATCCCTTTATAAATGAGGCCCCAGGGGCCTCATTCATAACGCCTTGCGTAGGATTGAGTAGGAAGGTTGCTTACGTAGTGCAAAGCACAAAAATAGGTACATACATTTTCCGTCATTTTCCGATTCACAAAACATTGCGTACCGGCGAGGGAAGTGCGTACGGCACTCCCTACGCCTGTTTCCCTTTATAAATCACAATCGACTCGTAACGCCCATATTTGCCTATACATAGTCAAAGAAACGCCCATTCATTCATTCATTTTGACTGACTGCATGAAGAAGATCGCAGGAAATGACGATAGAACAGCTAAAAAAGACATCTCACACCGTGTCAGATTTAGGTTATTGTGGGGAGGTCGAGATAAATCATATTGTTTGGTGGATGCAGTTTGAACCAGAGTAGCAGCATGGAGGTCGGATCGTCACCAAAATAAATAAATAAGTGGTCCGAAAAAAGTTAATGACAAAAAAAATACACATAACCTTCCTCAGGCAGTGTGTTTGTCCCGGGGACAGGAGACACCCCCTTGATGAGAAACTGTAAGAAATGATCGGGGAATCCCTCCGGAGTGGAGTCATGACGACTGGATCTGAATTATTTTTGTTGTATTTGGTGGTTTGTGTTCCAGCTGTCGATCAGCAACTATATATCCATAATCCACCAGTTAAAGGAAATACAACTAATGGATTGTGTTATATTAGCTGTACAATTTACCACATATGGTGTTCTTAGTTTCCATACCTCCTGTGTTTTACGAGCTACTTATCAAGTCTTGGCAAACGGCATAAAACACGATTAAACGTGATAGTATATAAAACCATGCTCGTATCTACAACCTATAGAAATGCAAAACGGCGTCAGTTTAGACGTAATTCTGTCCCCCTGCTTACCGCATCATTTATGAGAAAACATTTCATAACATTAACACAACATATTCGAGGTGGTTTTAAATAGCATATCCGTATTTATTTATTTCTCCAAGTTATGTTTTTGTGTGCACTGAGGAGTTTCAAACAGGCGTTTGTTTAATCATTTAAAGATTGGCTTTAATCAATGTTTGAAAATGAATTCTTCATATTTGATAAATGAGAGGTAACATTTTATTTATGGTATTATTTCCACATATTTCTCTCCATTCTTCCTTCTGCCAACGGTGTCGCAGTTTCTCGTCTCTCCCGTTTGTGTGCTTAGTGCGTACGCATGGGTTAGAGTTTGCGTGGAGGACAGCACATTTTCCCGTCAAGTTAGTATTTTATAAATCGCAAACATTGCGTAGAAACTGGCGTACGCCATTTTTTGAGCGTATATCCCTTTATAAATGAGGCCCCAGATCTGTTGTATGAAGCGATGCCGGTAGCGGAGGTAAGGCACACACACCAAATGTTCAGGAAATGGTTAATACAGCGAAAATCAAAGCTGACGATCTCTTGGTTTGATATGTTTTCTCCCCCAGACAACATGGACATAAGAACATTTTTTTCAAAGAAGAGGAAAGTAAGTCATCAGCTGGTAGCAGTTAATCAGTTAACAGTGATGGCGGCGTCTCACTTCTGGAGAGGAGTTTCGTCTTTATGTCATGATAGAGAGATACAAATACTGAATAGTTTAGATGAGAAAAGGCATCGAAATGCCAGGTTACTAGTATTTATCAGTATTTATTATCACTTCACCACCTCTCTTGACATCTAGGCACTTGAGAGTGAGTCAGAGGCAGAATACAGGGACAGTGGAGAGAGGTCCATTGCTGAGGTGAGTGATGAAAGGGAAATGACAGTTGAGAGTAAATTGTGATGTGGACTCTCATCCCAGGATTTTAAGGAAATCAGTGGGGATATTGAACAGGAAACATTTCAGTCAAGGGGCATCATATGACCAATATAGACAGAAGAGCAACATTTATTTGAACATTTAAGTCAATGATACCATTCCTAGGTGAACTTAACATCCGTATGGAGTCAGATCAGTCTCAATATTAATAAATGCTCACAGAAGGATTCACAAATGTATTTTGCGATTTATATATAAATGACTCTCCACAACAATATCTCTCAATGCACTCACAAATATTTATTGTTGTATATAAATGTACAAAAAATGGGCATTTAAACTGCTTTTTATTAATTCAAAGACAGCTCTGAATTAATAATCAAATATGTTTCCTTTCTTTACTACTGAAATTACAAAATGTACCCATCATTTTCCTCATGCTAGTATAGCCACATAAAAGTATCAAACCACCTGTTAAAATGCACCAGAATACAGGAAATCTATATATTTTTTTCGCCCCCACACCCCCGTTAAAAATGTCCCCCCCACATTCAGGATGCTTCCTACGCCCATGTATGGTACACCACTGTGGCATTGTTTGGCTCTGTTGTTTTCTTTGCACAAAAATACTTAATAAATTATGTTTGTTTTAACTGAATTCTGTAGAGGAATCTTCAGAATCGGAATTATTTACTATTGAACTTGGTTTATTGACAAGTTCCATTTACAAGGAGGTTGCTTTTGTGTATGCTACTGATGCAGAGACAACATTATCAGATTATCACATATCATCATCAAAAACAAACCCACAACCAGTTTTAATAATATTGTCCCAGCTGGAATACATAGGAACAATAATAACTAAATAAATACATTTATTATGATTGTATTATTAAAAAGGCAGGCACATACTGCACGGTCATGTTGTGCGTACTCGGAACCTTCGAAGCGGGAAGACTTTAACCGGAGGACACTCGTGTAATGATGGCCGACGTACCAGATAATGCACCGCAGCGTGAGTTTTAAACTTCAATTATGTCTTATTTTTACACTATTATGTTGGTCAGCTTTATGTAACATTGCCGTGACTCTAAGGTCGAGATGGGTTTGAAGAGTGTGTCACTTTTAGTGCTAAACACGTCTCTGTTGACAACACAGTAGCCTACTTGCTATTTTCCCGATAGTGTTTGAGAGTATCGATAAGCTACATTTATATTAAATATTCATGTGGACTGGTACTGCTGTCTTCTTTACGATACAATTAAACTTGAATCTCTTGTTAAGCCACGATGTTTAATGACGCACTCACTCGGGTGTTGCCAAGTGTCAGCACTCAGCAGATTAATGCCTTTGCAGAATGTGATAATTGTTGCCTGAACAATAGATCATTAATACATAGTGCTACTTAAACAATACTGAATGTATTTTCTTAGCTGTCAACACTATCGACAAGGTTGCTGAGTCATCGTGACACAGTTCTCAACCTCCACAATCAGTGATAACATTACCCATTTAACCATGTTCTGCAATGTAAAATGGTATAATTATATAATAAATTATGTATTATTTTTCCCAGTAAGGTATTGGATATTCTATACATCTAAAATCCCTTTTTATTCTCCATTTAATTATTTTCAATGTTGTTAAAATGACATGCATGTCTTTTGAAGCTTTATTTAAACTATTTAAAAACAAACCCATTGTGCAACATGTTATGCATAATTCCCAAAAATTAGCTTATAGTTGATGTTTTTTTGAAACTATGGCTTCTTTACTTGACTCTTTTTGGTTTTATCCAAGCTTGAAATGACACTCGTATAAGCAGGCAGGGGTTAAAGAGGTTTAAAAAATAAATTGAACCGTATACTTGAATTTAACTTCAGCCTCCAAAACATGTATTGGGTTTTGATAAATGTAAGGTGATCTGATAAAGACAACATGCTGATAACTGATGTGTTTCATCCCTCACACTGCCCGGGCACAGCGAGTGAGCAGGCAGGAAAGACGTCGTCATGTGAGGGCTGTCCCAACCAGAAAGTGTGTGCTTCTGGAGCCACCAAGGCCCCCGACCCCGGTAAGAACACATCTCAATATTGTATACATGTGTTTTATGACATTAAAGGGTGTGGAAAGGCATGGGAGAAACAGCAACTAGGAAAGAGGAAGGAAATTATAGCCATTTCACAAACTGCTCTCCCAAACTAAAGTATCCCGCTGCACTTTTGTTTTGCTTTGCCTCGAGGGACAAATTACGAACCTCATGATATCCCTATTCTTGCTCTCTTTCTCTCTGTTTCACCCCTTTCTTTGTGTCTTTGTATGTGTCTGTCAATATCTCTCTTTTAATTTCTCTCACAACATGTTCCCCTACCTGTCACTCAAGGCAAGTCAAATATATTTTTACAGCACATTACAACCCCATGCAATTCAAAGAGCATTGCAACATTTAAAACATTAAGATATAGTGAAGCTTAAACATTAAATAATTTGAATACATTTACAAAACAGTTATTGCAAAGCCAAGAGAATACAAATAAAACAAGCTGAAATAGAATCAGTGTGTAAAATGCAAGTATAACAGTTACAGTCCAGTGTAGGAACAGTTATTAGATTTCTTACTTCTGAAGTTATTATGTCTTATATCAGATGTAAAGACATATTCTGGTGATATTTACATTAATTATGTGACCGTCTATGTTTACTGTAGATATTTAATTGCTCTTTTTACTGCACTTTTAGTGTACAGTTTTACTATTATGCTGCTGTGTTTATTGTATTTTGTAACTCTGGCACAACAATTTCCTTCGGGATAAATAAAGTCTTACCTATCTATATTCTGACTAGATATTAGACAAATATACTTGGCAAGATTTCGAGTTTTTGTAGTGCATATCTTTTTATTGCATTAATGTGATTCATGCCAAACGTACTGTTATAGTCTCTCAGAGTGTCATTATCATCATATATGTACATACAAGAGAATGTGAAATATGTGTTGATTTACTGTTTACTTAAGAAAAATATTTTTGCACACCTGCAGAAATGATCCAAAAAACAATAAAGCACTTACAATATATGTCAAGGATGTCTGTTATTTTCTTTATTATTAAGAGTCATGTTAGATGCATCAATATACTTTTTTTTGTCATGGTTCATTCAGAGTTTGTTTATGGGGCCGTTCATTGGTCCAATCTTCAGGGTGCGTACGGGTGCTGGAAATCCTTGAAAATGCTTGAAATTGTACGAGGTGTTTTCAAGGTTTGAAAAGTGCTTGAATTTTGGGAATGGTGCTTGAATTTGGGATAAAGTGCTTGAAATTGTAAATGCTTTACTTCGCTTTTTAGATTAAAAGAAAATAAAGAAGTCGGAGCGCGCTTAATTGCTTCGCTTTTACATAAAACAGCTCCGCTCCGGCCTTCCCGCGCTATGCGCGTGACCGGCAAGTGTTTTTGTTACGTGTGTGACCTGGGCATTCTGATGAGAGTGATAGATGACAGTATGCCAGGAGGTTGCCGTTTCAACGAGCGTTGGCTAGCAGAAGACAAATACAAGCCATGGCTAAGACGAGGGTCAAGCGAAGCCCAAGAGTAGCCTCCTGCAAAGTGTGCAACAATAACGATGCGAGAGTCTGCGCTGACGAGCGACACACCACACGAAAGGTACGCCATAGTAGAGCATTTTAGATTAGGCTATCGTTGCATGTAAAATACATGACACTTTTCTCTGTGCGCGGCAAAACAAGCTCGCCAAAATGGCTTCACTAGTCTGGCAGTATTTTAAGTGTCCGAAAATGACAATAAAATAGCGGTATGCAACGTGTGTGTGAAGCAGAAATCCTGCAGCTCCACCCGCTGTGACGGACCGGTGAGCGGAGCGAAACACACATTAAGAGTTAGACCTAACACACTTAGCTATTTTATCTACCTCTGGAACAAGCTGATTCCGGCGATCGGCCCCAAAATTGGCGATCGGAGCATCCCTAATAATTGTATATGATATGTTTTATAATGATTGATCATTAAAGTGTTCTCAAAGCTGGTAAAGGTGCAGCTAGTTTGAATGACTTTGTATACTGCAGGGTAGCTTGTGAATTTACTCCAGGTGGAACTAAAGTCTGATTTAACACTTGATTAGATTTCACATCATTCATCCACATCTGTAAAGTAACTAAAGGTATTAAATACATGTAGTGGGGTAAAAGTAAACCATTTACCTCTGACTTGTGTTTACTGCCAACCTAAAAGTACCTCAAAAATAGTATTGAAAAGTTATTTGGCTGATTGTTTTATATTGGCTCAGCCAGGTTATATGGGATGCCCAGTCTACGTACAGATGGGTCACTCATTTTGAAATATTAAACTTAGTTTTCTTTTCTAAAAATTTAAATTGTTCATCCTCATGTAGAATGCTATTATGAAACACACATTTGGTTGTTTATATTATAAAGAACATCAGATTTAATGTGAGGCAGGGAAATAATCATTTGAGTATAAGTATGTGTATATAAATATGTAATTTACAACAGCTGTAAGATGCTTGAAAAGCTTGAAAATGCACCTTGAAAATGCTTGAAAAGTGCTTGAATTTGACTTTGGAAAAGGTGTAAGAACCCTGAATCTTAGTGCTCTATTAATAGTTGTCGAAGGTACTTGTTTGTTGTAACTTGGTTGCTATATTAAGATTGTTAAACTCTTCCCTGTTGTTTTAGGACAAGTAAAGCACTCTCAGTGATGACGCTAGGTGTTGTTTTTGGATTATCTCATCGTGAAGGACTTCTTGTATTTGCCAAGTAAAGACAACAATAATCTGCTGACAGTCAAATCTGTGTCCAAGTCTTAACATTGAGTGTCAATCATGATGAAGTCCAAGCTATGCATGTCCCCCAAATAACTCATGCAACAATAATGAAGCAACACCAAAATGTTGAAAATGAACCTCAGCTCCTATAATATTTCTAGAGTAAATACAAATAAAAGAAAACAGACACCTTAATTTTCCCATTGAACCAACACACATACACACAATGATTCAATGTATTATAAAAGCCTAGCAATCTAGGGCCTAGTGACCTATATATAAAAGTGTCTTATGTATCAAATCAAAGCACTTCCATAGTATTTACATCTTTATGCTCTTGCATCGCAGGATTTGAGTTTTGGTAGCCTAAGCTTTGTAGATAATAATTACCTGTGTTACTCAGTGAGGTCAAATGTGAACCAAAACCTAAGTCACTACATTTCTTTTTAACGTTTTTAAATACTTGGATCAGGAGGGAAAGAGAGGGAACTTTTTTTGCTGAAACTTTCTGAGTCACACAGGGGAGACATATATATGTATCAAAGACATTAAAAAGTGCATTTTGCATAATAGGGAACCTTTAAATGATTGTGTTGTTCAATTGAGATCACATCACATGTGGCGTTTCTCGAGTTATTTTACATTATATAATTACAGGTTCATCTTTTAAGCTCAAAGTTTTGTTCAAGAGTCCAAGAATATTTGACCAGCTTGTATGAAATGAACACATTTGATAAAAACAACAATAACAAAAATAATGGGATTGAACGTGTACAGTGAGACAAATATAAAAACACCAAGAACTATAAATACATACATCTTCTATTTCATACCATAGGTTATTTTATTTATGGAATTCAGTGTTGATTAAAACATAAAATGAATAGATAGCAGAATTTTAGTAACCAACATGTCATACAGTAATTAATATATACTGTATATGTTTACACAGTGATACACACGTAATAATTAACATTTTTATTTTTAAATCAAGTCGTTGTTTAAATCACAAATAGAACAGATACCGGTACTTTAGTAACCAAAATGTCATAAAGTAATGAATATAAACTGTATACGTTTACACAGTGAGGCATACACATAATACATTTAATTAACATTTTATTTTAAAATCAATTCTAAACACAACTAAAAAACACTAAATATGAAAATGGGAAGGAAGGGGGGGGGGGGGTGATGTAGGAAGAAAGAGGTGAGGGAAATGGAGGAGAGAGTTTGGGGTGAAGTGAGGGGAGAGTATGGAGGAAGTAAGTAAATAAAGGATGGAGTAAGGTGAGAGAGGGTGAGGTAGCATGAAGTAGGTACAGTTAATGGGGGAGGGACTTAATAGTGAGTTTTTTTACATCTATTATACAGATTGTGGGAAAACCTGAGCTCCAGGAAAAAACCCTGAGTATGAAAAGGGGAAGGCAGTAGGGGGTGAGGTAGGAGGAAGGAGGTGAGGGGAAATGGAGGAGAGAAAGAAGAGAGGAAAAGGCAGCTACTGATGTCCAGCCATCTCCTTCTCTTGCATCTTGCGTAGCATTTTCTGCAAAATGACGTCCCTTCTCTCAGTCTTCCTCCAGCGAGCGAAGAATCCTCTGCTCTTATTCTTCATGTGAAGACAGAGGTCCTCCAGAAGTGTCTTTTCGTCCTCCATCTTCTTCTCGTTGGCCTCCCAGCTCAGTCGCGTCTGAGCGAGGTTGTGCTTGGTTTCCCAGCGCTGGAGTTTCTGGGTCAGGTTTTTCTCCTGCTCATCCAGGTACTTCTCCAGCTGCTGGACTCTCATGTCCTTCTGTTTGACATTGCTCTGGTTTTTCTTGACCAGGTTGTAATTCTTCTTCTCTTCCTCTTGAAATTTGGTCTCCATCAAATGAACCTTGGTTTCGCAGCTCAGGTGTTCTTTGGCCAGGTCTTTGGAGAACTTTTGCTCCTGCTCTCTCATCTGGTCTTTAAGCTGCTTGACATCCGTCTCCCAGCTTTTTTTTATCTTGGCCAAATGATTCTTTTGCTTCTCCACCTGTTTTAGCTGAGTCTCCCAGCTCTGGTGTTTTTTGGCCAAATCTTCAGAGAACTTGTTCTCCTGCTTATCCAGGTTATTCAGCAGCTGCTGGACTCTCATGTCCTTCTGTTCGACATTGCTCTGGTTTTTCTTGACCAGGTTCCTCATGGTTTCGTTGGCCTGTTCTAATTTTGCCTGAACCACTTTCAATTCATTCTTCCCGATCAGGTGTTTTTGAACCAGGTTGTAATTCTTCTTCTCTTCCTCTTGAAATTTGGTCTCCATCAAATGAACCTTGGTTTCCCAGCTCTGGTCTTTAAGCTGCTTGACATCCGTCTCCCAGCTTTTTTTGATCTTGGCCAAATGATTCTTTTGCTTCTCCACCTGTTTTAGCTGAGTCTCCCAGCTCTGGTGTTTTTCGGCCAAATCTTCAGAGAACTTTTTCTCTTGCTCATCCAAGTCGTTCTCCAGCTGCTTGACTTTCATGTCCTTCTGTTTGAAATCGAACTCCCAGCTCTTGTTTTCCTTGATCAGGATATTTATGGATTCCTTGGCCTTTTCAAATTTTGCCTGAACCACTGTCTCCCCGATCAGCTTTTTCAGAACCAGGTTGTCCTTCTTCTCTTCCTCTTGAAATTTGGTCTCCTTCTCTCTCATCTGGTCTTTCAGCTGTTTGACATCCGTCTCCCAGCTTTTGTTGTTCTTTGCCAGATGCTCGTTCTCCTCCTCCACCTGTTTCAATTTGGCCTCCACCTGTTTAAGCTCAGTCTCGAGGCTCAGGTTCTTCTTGGCCAGGTCGTCCTTTTCCTGAGACACCTCTTTTAGTTTGGTCTCCATCGGTTGTTGGTCTTCAGGGATCTTTTCTCCCTGCTTTTCCAACTGGAGCACCAGCTTTTGGACTTCCTTCTCCATTGCTTTGATTTTACAGGTCTGGTAAGTGTTGTGCTTCATCACCTGTTTCAATTTCAACTCCATCTTTTGTTTTTCCGTCTCCAAGGTGTGGTTTCTAGCGGCCTGGTAGTTTTTCTCGTCCACTACATACTGCATGTCTTGTTTTCCATTCTCCCAGCTCTGTTGTATCTCGGCCAGGTCCTTGGTGGACTTGTCCTGGCTCTGAAGGAGTTCTTCCTCTCTTCTTTTCAGCAGGTTTATGGTCACCAGGTTCTCCTCCAGCTGCTGCTTGTGTTGAGCCTCTTTAGTTTCCATCTCCTCCTCCAGAGCGCTGTATCTTTCCTCCCAGACTGTCACACACTCAAGGAGTTCATCTCCTCTCATCAC